ATATATAAAAATGCATCATCTGTGAACAACAGTCTTTTCATTGCTTGTATTGCAGCAGTGGGGTGGGGATTACAGGCAAGCACACTGAATGTAGGGGAACCTTGTTGAGAGCAATGTGCATGTGTCTCAAAACTGGCCATTGATAAAAAGTTCTTTCAAAGCCTCTCTGATTGCACTGCCCCGTGCTGTGCTCTCCTTATTGCCAAGGGCTGTGTCTAGACTGGCATGATTTTGCGTAAATACTTTTAACAGAAAAGTTTTCTAGTTAAAAGTATTTGCACAAGAGAGCATCTTTGCTGGCATGTGCCTTTGTGCAAAAGATTTGCTTTTGCGCAAAAGCATCCGTGCCGGTGTAGATGCTCTCTTGCACAAGAAAACTCCGATGACCGTTTTAGCCATCAGGCTTTCTTGCGCAAGAAATTAACATTCCTGTCTACACTGGCGCTCTTGCGCAAGTATTCTTGGGCAAGAGGGCTTATGCCTGAGCAGGAGCATCAAAGTATTTGCGCAAGAAGCACTGATTTTGTACATTACAAAATCAGTGTTCTTGTGCAAATTCTCACGGCCAGTGTAGACACGCGGCAAGTTTTTGCGCAAAATCTTGCCAGTCTAGATGCACCCCTAGTGTCTGGCTGCTCATAGTCTCTAGCTAGGTGCTCTGCATCAGTCCATTACCCTGCCAAATAATTTTTCCCCTTGCTCTCGCAAAGATTATGAAGCATATAGCAGGCTGCCACCACAAGGGGAATGCTGTGTTCATTTAGGTCCAGTCTAGTCAGGAGACTCCTAACCCTTCCCTTTAAATACCCAAAAGAACATTTCACCACCATTCTGCACTAGCTCAGCGTGTAGTTAAACTGCTCCTTACTGCAATCCAGGCTGCCTGTGTACGGCTTCCTGAACCATGGGAATAAGGGGTAGGATGGGCCGCTAAGGATCACTATTGTCATTTCTGCTTCTGATTTTCTGGTCTGAGAAGAATATAACGTAAGAACGGCCATGCTGGGTCAGACCAAAGGTCCGTCTAGCTTAGTATTCTGTCTGCCAACAGTGTCCAATACCAGATGCCCCAGGGAGAGGGATCACAACAGGTAATTCTCACATGATCCCTTCTCTGGAAGTAGGTGACAGGGAAACAGAGGCTGGGGATACCATTCCTACCCATCTTGGCTAATAGCCATCGATTGACCTAACCTCCATGAATCTCTCTAGCTCTTTTTTGAACCCTGTTAAAGTTCTAGCCTGCACCACATCCTCTGGCGAGGAGTTCCACAGCTTGACTGTGCACTGAGTGAAGAAAAACTTCCTTTTGTTTGTTTTAAACCTGCTGCCTATTCATTTCATTTGGTGACCCCTAGTTCTTATATTGTGGGAATAAGTACATAATTTATTCACTTTTTCCACACCAATCATGATTTATAGACTTCTATCTTATCTCCTTTATTCTCCTCTTTTATAAGGTGAGAAGTCCTAGTCTTTTTAATATCTCTTCATATGGGACCTGTTCCAAACCCCTAATCATTTTTGTTTCCCTTTTCAGAACCTTTTCCAATGTTAATATATCTTTTTTGAGATGAGGTGACCACATCTGTACTCTATATTCAAGATGTGGGTGTACCATGTTTTTATATAGAGGCAATACGATATTTTCTTATTCTCTATCCCTTTTTTAATGACCTAACATTCTGTTTGCTTTTTTGACTGCCGCTGCACACTGAGTGGATGAAAGTTCCAGTATGCCTTTTTCTGAGGAGGCAGGAGTGCTTTCCCAACTATCCAACGTTGATGTTGGTGAAACAACCTTTGTGATCCACCAGCATCTGCAGCATCATGGAGAAGTACCCCTTGTGGTTTATGTACTCCTTGGCAAGATGGTCAAGGGCCAAGATGGTTATGGAACCCCAACACAGCAAAGGCATCCACTGTAGCATCCTCATTTCCCAGAGTCACAACTTTCTGTAGCAGAATGATATTGATTGCCTTGGCTATTTGTATAACAGCAGCCCCCACTGCAGATTTCCTCACTCTGAACTGATTCCCAACTGATTGGTAGCTGTCTGGCATTGTAAGCTTCTACAGGGCAATTGCCACACACTTTTCCACAGTCAGAGCAGGTTTCATTTTGGTATTCTTGTGCTTTAGGGCAAAGGAAAGCCATTCACAAAGTTCCAAGAAAGTGGCCTTATGCATTTGGAAGTTTTGCAGCCACTGCTGATTGCCCCATACCTGCAGCATTATGTGGTCCCACCAGTCTGCTTGTCTCATGGCATTAAAACTGGTGTTCCCCTGTGTCCAAAGGATCAAATGCCAACCGCATTTCCATCAGCACAAATGCTTTTCAGGATGAGTCCATGGAATCATGAGATTTGTCCTCTTCCTGGCAGAGTTACATGCTTAGGCTCTCAGCTTACTGAACCATTACGTGCATCAAAGTAGACATCAGCATCACAATGGATGATTCAAAATGGGTTCTATGCTTGTGCTGATATGGCATCTGCACAAGCAATCAGGACCAAACAGGACACAAAAAGACTGTTTACCATTGTCCCTCCCATCCTTGCCTGAGATCTAGATGAGTGCATTATGGGACGCTGACGACATGAACCCATAACCACCTGCTGCATAGTTTTGGTCTCAGCCTGTGCCAGAAGCGTAATCCAGAATGCAAAGTGGCACAGGCACTGTGGGATAGCTGCATCGCTCTCATAGTCGACAGTAGGTTCCCTAATGGGGATGCGCTACTCCAGTCTAGATTGAGTTCTTCCCAGCAATGGGAACATGGACCTTTGACTTTGGAAAATCAGGTGACCAGAAATCGACCATGATAGATTTGACTTCATCTCGTAGTGGAGACGTGGCCTAAGAAAATGATCTCTGCATCAGCTTTCTGAATGGAGCACAATTACATTGTCAAAGCCATAGAAAAGGATGCTATAGTAATTGAGATGGAAGCTGGATTTAACTATTTGGAGGGATCGGAAATGTTGTCTGACCATGAGTCAACATGTGTGGGCAAAGAAATACAGGTTCCGTGGTCCTTTCAAACCTTGGTTCTTCCACTAAGACTGGAAGTAAGGGGCAGATTTGTGTTTGTTGCAAGGTTGGCTCTCAGGATATCGTTGATATATATATATATATATATGATGTGGGCCAACATTCTTCTGAGTTAATAAAACAAACGGAAGGAAAGTGCTTGACAGCTATTTATGGATCAGAAGTTGACGTTAGTGCAGGAAAGTGAGAAGAGGTGTTTTGATACTTTTAAAACTCAAAATTATTTAGCTGTATGTGGGATGTTCCTTAGTTGCTTAAGATTTTATAGTGGAGTTTTGAAATACTTGACCATAGATGACACATACCAACAGACTTCTGTCCTACCTTTATTAGGACAAAACAGAGAAGCAGCCAGAGGAGCCAGTTAAGTCGCCAGAGCCCGAGAGTGAGGAGAGTGACTTAGGTGAGGAAGAAACTGTTGTTGCTGCAACTGCGCATCAATTCGAACATGAATGTAATACTATCTATTGCATTTGTAGGTGAAATAATTTAATTTTCCTCATTAGTATTCAAAACCTTAACTTTTCTCCTTGCAGAAATTGACAACGAGGGGGTGATTGAACCAGACAAGGATGATCCCCAAGAAATGGGAGATGAAAATGTGGAGGTAAACATAACATCTTCAATTTTCATTGCATTGGGGGGCTTGCTGCTTTTGTTTTTGTTTTTTTGCAGGAGGGGGACAGTTGAGTGAAAATTAAACTCTAAGGAAACCTATATGGGTTAGACAGCCAGTCATTGCTTGTAATGCCTTCAGTTCTTCCTCTTTCCATCTCTTCCCTTCTCCTGAGCAGGAAGCTCACAAATTGAAAGTTAAAATCTCTCCTAATTAAAGGCATTCCATTAGAGACAGTAGCAAAACTCTCATTAGCTTTCAGAATCATGACTGGAGATAAAAATGAGCCATTAACTTTTTTTAAATGTGTGATTGAAAAATAAATAAATATAGACATTCCATACTAAGGGCACGTCTAAACTACATTACTCTTCCGAAAGAGGAATGTAAATGAGCCTGATCGAAAATGCAAATGCGCAGATTTACAAATCTTGCACTTCATTTGCATAATTGCACAAGAGCGCTTTTTCAAAAAAGAAACTGCAGTCTAGATGGGGTTCTTTTGGGGGAAAAAAACCCTTTTTCGAAAGAACCCATACTCCTGGGGAAAAAAGGGGGTGTTTTTCGAAAGAACCCTGCCTAGACTGCAGTTTCTTTTTCGAAAAAGCGCTCTTGTGCGATTATGCAAATGAAGCACGATATTTGTAAATCCTCACTTCATTTGCATTTTTGATCGGGCTCATTTACATTGCTCTTTCGGAAGAGGAATGTAGTTTAGACATAGCCTATCAGATGAAAAATGTCTTCCTATTCCTTATGAACAGTGTGCTTTCCTCCCTGCCTACCATTCTGAAATTAAACTTAAAGGGGTCTCTGCTTGTTTAACTGAGTCTTTAATATAAATTAGGCTGAACACCCTCGAGTTAGAGATTAGTTCCCTTTCCTGATCCTCATCTAAGCTTGTTGCTTTTGGTTTTGACTTTGTTTCCTTTTTTCATAGGTAACTGAAGAGATGATGGACCAGGCTGATGAGAAGAAGATAGAGGGCATCCATGCCCTAGGTGAAGGTGAGGGGTTCTGTACCTTTGCGCATACTTTGGATGGGGTCGCTCTTATTATCATCCTTTCTTGTGGACAGCTCTTTCACTGACAAGTTCATTAAAATCTGATCTAAAGCATTCTGGAATCCTTCCAGTTTGCAGGAAGGAGTGTTGTCCTAGCAAGGAGTGTTTAAAAGCTTCTGGTGGAATTAATTCCTTATAGTGAGTTTGAGATAGCATTGCCATGCTTCTGGCTGAAATTCAATGGGGAAATCTTGGTATACACATCCAAGATTCAGTGTAAATTGTATTCTGAAACACTTTAGTTAAATAAATGTATACCCCAGGAAAAGAAGGCTTGGGAGGGAGAAAGCAGCAGAAAATCAAGCTCTCAAACTATTGATAAGATTGCTACTACTCAAATGGATGAGTACAGCACTGTATTTGTGCATCTTGGCTGTTTACTGATGGGGAACCTGATGTGGCTTTGTGGAATGTCCAGTTTAAAAAACACACATCCATGTTGCCTAATTTAGTTTTAACACAGCATGTGTTGTATCCAGGGTTCCCTGTATGTTACGCATCCATGCAGGTGCGCAGCCCTTTTTTGAACCCCATGCGGAGGTTCAGAACTCCCCGTGCAGGAAGGGAGCTCAGCTGATAGGGAGGGCGGGGCACTCACCCTCTCAAAGGAACAGCAGCAGCTGATGATGATGATGCTGCCTGTTATACATGGAGTAGCTGCCTCCAGCTTCTACTCCAGGCCTGGGCAAAAGATGGTCTGCGGGCCAGATGCAGCTACGAGAACCTCAGCTGGCTCCCTGCCTGCCCCGTACTTCATCAGCGCTCAGGAAAGCCAGCTGCAGGACCACGTATGTGTTTCTGAACACTGGGACCTTCGAGGGAGGGGAAACCAGCTTCTCATGATTTCCCTGCTTCTGGAAGCTCCCAGTGGCCAGTTTCAACCAATAGCAATGTCTGTAGGAGAGGCAGCATGTGAAGTGTCCTGTCTCCCATGTGCCCCAGACTCACAGCATTCAATTCAGTTCAGAGCAATTAACATGGCTCCTGCACTCCCCTGAGTATGTACAGGTCTGGAAGGTAGGGACCCTGGTTAAGGAACTTGCTGGGCTGCTGTCTGCGAGCCAGGTAAGGTCTCCCAGCCAGAGCCTATCTCTGGCACCCCAGCCCCTCCCTCTCCTAACCTTTTGCCCTCCCATCCCATGTAACCCAAACCTTCTGCACCCCTGCTCCAGCCCCCATACACCTTCCCAGACACTGCAGCCCCTCCTGCACACCTGCCCCAGGTCACAACCCCCTCCCAGGCCCTTCACCCCTTCCTCACCCCAGTCTGGTGCCCTAAGTCACGAACCCTACTTCACTAAACTCCCTCCCAAATCCCACACCCCAGTCCCTTACCCCAAGCTCCTTTCTGCACCCAGCCTCCATCCCAAACCCCTGTACCTCTTTCATTAATATAATGGAAGGATGCAGCCCTCAACCACTTAAATTCTTGGAGTGGCCCCTGTCAAAAAATTATTGCTCACCCCTGTGTTAATAGCTAAAGATAAGAAAAAAACCGATTCTTTTAACAAAATATTTTTGAGTGTTGCAGATATCTAAAACTCTGATCTTAATGATTTTTTTAAAATCCCGTGTTACTAATTAATACATGGTAAACTGTATTGCATTAAGGCGAGATCTTTGCTATCTGGTAGAGTTCTGGCTGTTATGAGTCAGAAGAAGCAAGTACTAGGTGTAATGCTACCCGTTAGTAGGATGAAACCTTATTTGCAAGATGTTTGAAAGGATGATGATACATGTACTCAAAGGTCTCAGAGGGTTGTTAGTATGCAACTAAAAAAACAATGGTCCTGTAGCATCTTAGACTACCAAATATATAAATAGTATCATCAGCTTTCATGGACACAACCCGCTTCTTCAGCCAAGGGTAGCGCTAATTTTCTTTGTATTTGATTTCATGTTAAATAATCATAAGTGGTGCTCCTTGTTAATTATCCCTTGTTTTAATATATTTTCTTCTACACCTATGGATTATTTAAAATATATATTTGTAGCTTCAGTTTCTGTTTGTACTGGTATGTACACATCCACACACTACTTCAGTATTGGTATTGCACATAAGAAAATTCAACCCACCCAAGGATGGAACATCATGTTTTAATATATTTTCTTCTACACCTATGGATTCTACACCTGGTTGCGTCCTAGGTAGTCTGTGTGCTTTTGTTCTAAATCTGATGTCTTCATGATTTCCTTGCTTTGCTGCCTTTTGCTGTTGTGAAATGATTTTGTTGCTAACTCAGTGTTGCCTTACATGAAAATTAGTATTATTTAAAGGGACCCTTTGAAGAGAAATACATTTATTTTAGGAGGTGAGTTTTCGTACCAAAAACACGTCAAATTTAAAATTTTCCATTTCAATAGTAGCTAAAATTAAGTTTGGGCTGTTTTTCTAGGGATTACTGTTTTTTGTCCAAAATACTTGTCATTAAGTTTTCCATAGAGAATTGGTAAATGAACATATTCCATGAGTTTTGTGCATGTATTTGTGTTTTACCAGTGCACTTTCATTTAAAATGTTTTTTCTTTCCCTTTTGCTGCAAGGCAGACCTCCACAAAGAAAAGGGGAAAGTGCATACATTGCTGGTCAAAAAATGTCTCTGCAAAATATATTGAAATAGATCATTTATCTTAGGGTGATTTTGGGTGGTGTTTGTTGTCAACAATACTAATAAACTATAAGACAGACATGTGACTTTCTTCTTACATTGATGATACACAATACCTAGTAGATTCTGGAAATCTGGATTTTCTTTCACTGTGGGGTAATCGAAGCTTTACTGGTACATGCCTTTCAGGTGAACTTCAGAAAGCTATTGACTTGTTCACTGAAGCAATCAAGTTGAATCCTCATTTGGCCATCTTGTATGCTAAGCGAGCCAGGTGAGTGATGTATAAACCAGGTGATTTGTTTTCCTATACGTACCTTTCAAGGGGCCATAGTGGACTAGAAAATTGAGAATCCAGCTCACAGATCTCTGTAAAATCATGCTGTCTTGGAAGGATCAGCTAATGTATGCCTTTTCCCTGTTTGCCCTGATCCACAAGGTTATCCTGAAGACCTGCGGGCACAGGACCAAAGTGATCTTGCTGGTGCAGGCTTGGCCACACCAACACTGATACATGACACTCCTGGAGCTGTTGGTGGACTCACCCAGAGAGCTCCCTCTTTACCTGGACCTGATCACACAGAACAACTAGTGCCTTCTGCACCCAGACTGTCAGTCATTGCCCCTCATGGCATGGAAATTCCATGGCTAGATATTCCAGAGGTCCAGTGCTGTCTCCAAGTTAAGCAGATTCTTTTAGGTATTAGAAAGCTATCCACTAGGCCATTTACCTTGCTAAGTGGAAGAGGTTTTTGTGCTGGTGTGCTGAACACCAGGTGTCCATGACTCAAGTCTCTATCCCCTTCATTCTGGACTACCTGTTCCACCTGAAAGGGAATGGGTTAATCTTGTCTTGTATGAGAGTTCATATGGCGGCCATTTCAGCATTTCATGCTGAGGAAAGGGCCCACTCAGTTTTTATAAATCCTTTGGTGGTTCATTTCCTAAAGGTGTTAGATCTTTTTTTTTCAAGTAATACAGCAGCTCCTTATATGGGATCTCAACTTGATCCTTTTTAGGTTGATGCACTGACCCTTCAAGCTAGTGGCTACTCACTCCTCTACTTCTCGTGGAAGGTGTCCTTCCTGATGGCAGTTTCATCCACCAGGAAGGTTTTGGAACTAAGGGCTCTCACTTATGAGCATCTTATACAATTTTCCCCAGGGATAAGGTACAGCTCAGAGTGGTGCCGTGGTGTCAGTTTCACTAGGTCAAGAAATTTTCTTTCCAGTTCTGTATCCAAAGCCATATATTAGTGCAAGGCAATAGCTGCTACACTCACTGGATGAGTGTAGAGCACTCAGTTTTTACATCAAGTGCACCAAACGTTTCAGAAAGTTATCGCAGCTTTTTGTGACTGTTGCAGACCTCATAAAAAGTCTTCCTCCTCTCAGAGTATCTCCTTGTCGATCATGGATTGTATCCGTAAATGCTACAAGCTAGCCAATGTCCCTGTGCCAGTGATTACTGCCTTGGCCTCTTTTGTGACTTTCTTAGGACATATACAGGGACATATTCAGGACATATACAGGGCAGCTACCTGGTCCTCTATTTATATGTTCATGGCATTATGTCATTGATCAACAGACCCGCAATGATGCTGCTGTAGGTAAGGCAGTCTTATAATCTATACTGAACTAACACCGACCCCACCTCCTTTGTAGTAGCTTGGGAGTCATCTGAATTGGAATTGACAAGAACAAGCACTCAGAAAAGAGAAAATGGTTACTAATCTCTCATAATTGTTGTTCTTTGAAATATGGTGTTCGTGTCCATTCCAAAACCCACCCTCCTTTTCCTCTGTCAGAGTAGCTGGCAAAAAAGAACCAAGGGAGGTGCAGGTCAGCAGGGTTGTAATATCACACCATATATCAGTGCCTCTCCAGGGGGCTCCCTCCCTGCCTGACCATACGGAGGCTGCAAGCGGAAAACATTCTAATATTTGAGCATACGACGGGGACACACCTGAATTGGAATGTAAGTGCCCAACACATCTCTAAGAACAAGATGTTAGTAACCATTTTTTCTGTGCAGCTGCTGGCATCAGCACTGCAGAGCTGGGCAGATGGAGAGTGGCGGCTGCTGGCCTGCAGTTGAGCTTGGAAGGCAGAACTACCGCTAGCAACTGTGCAGAAGTAAGGATGGCATGGTATTGTATTGCTGCTCTACTCTTACTTCTGCACTGCTGCTGGTGGGGTGCTGCTTTCAGAGCTGGCTGCCTGGCCAACATTATAACCACCACTCTCCAGTTGCTCAGCTTTGAAGGCAGTGCAAAAGTAAAGGTGGCAATACCTTGACCCTCCAAAAATAATCTTGAGCTCCCCCTACAACTCCCTTTTGTGTCAGGACCTCTATTTAATCTGGTCTCCCCCATGAAATCTGCATAGTGTTGGGTAAAAGCACACACAAGGCCAGATTTCATGGGAGGAGACCAGATTTCACGGTCTGTGACGTGTTCTGCATGACTGAATTTGGTAGGTCCCTAGTCATTAAACTGTAAGGTAGATGTGATAGACTGTATGGGTGTGTCTAGACTACATGCCTCCGTCGATGGAGGCATGTAGATTAGCCAGATCAGCAGAGGGAAATGAAGCTGCGATTAAAATAATCGCGGCTTCATTTAAATTTAAATGGCTGCCCCGCTCTGCCGATCAGCTGTTTGTCGGCAGATCGGGGCAGTCTGGACGCGCCGCATCAACAAAGAAGCCTTTCTTGATCGGCACAGGTAAACCTGGTTTCACGAGGCATACCTGTGCCGATCAAGAAAGGCTTCTTTGTCGACGTGGCGCGTCCAGACTGCCCCGATCTGCCGACAAACAGCTGATCGGCAGAGCGGGGCAGCCATTTAAATTTAAATGAAGCCGCGATTATTTTAATCGCAGCTTCATTTCCCTCTGCTGATCTGGCTAATCTACATGCCTCCATCGACGGAGGCATGTAGTCTAGACACACCCATACAGTCTATCACATCTACCTTACAGTTTAATGACTAGGGACCTACCAAATTCAGTCATGCAGAACACGTCACAGACCGTGAAATCTGGTCTCCTCCCATGAAATATGGGTACCCTGTGCTATTACATTATTCCTCCCCCAGGCCAGAATGCTCTGCACCCATAATCCCTCCTGAACCCTGCACCTCAAGCTCCTGCCCCAGGTCACAATCCCCTCCTTTCTCTCTAAGCTGCACAGGAGCACAGCTTCACAAGTGACTAATCAGCCCCGCCCACTCAAAGGCTCATGGCTCCGTGCATGGAGGGAACACTGTCCTGCACCCCTAGCCCCTACCATGGGCTCCCTTCTGCACTCAGCCTGTGCTCCCTCCATAGAAAAATGCAGCCTTTGACCACTTTGCAAAAGCTTGGAGTGGCCCCTTATTTTTATTTCCACCCCGATCTAGACCATCTCTGACAGGTTTGTCCCACTTGTTTAAAGATCTCCAGTGATGGAGATTCCATAATCTTCCTAAGCAATTTATTCCAGTACTTAGCCACCCTGACAGGAAATTTTGAACATTGAAAGTATGGCAAGAGAACACCAATCTTATGATATAAAAATCAGAAAAGTCATATAAAAAGTGGAAAGTAGGTCAAATTACAAAGGATGAATATAAGCAAACGATGCAGGTATGCTGGGGCAAGATTAGAGAAGCAAAGGCACAAAACGAGCTCAATCTAGCTAGAGCAGGGGTGTGCAATAATTTTTGAGTGGGGGGAGTCATTCCAAGATTTTGGGAAGTGGTTGAGGGCTGCACTTTTGCATAATATTAATGGAGGAGATGTGGAGTTTGGGATGTAGGTTGGGTGCAGAGGGGAGCTTGGGGTAAAGGATTGGGGTGCAAGAGGGAGACTGGAGTATGGGAGGGAGTTTGGGTGAAGGAGATGATTGGGACTTAGGGGGAGTTAAACAGTCAAAAGACAGACTGAAAAAAACATGATTTGAAGTTTTAAAAAATCTCATGATGATTTGTGGGGCCAACTTCATGCTTTTTGGGGGTCCAACTCATGATTTTTTATCTCTTGAGGTTGGCAGCACTGGAAAATTGACACATAGTGCAAAGAGGCTTGAAAGTGGGGATGTGGGCAGAAAGGAGGAGAGCGGAGGCAAGGCGATATTGTGAGGATGATGGTACTCTGTGAAGGGATCTCCTCTCATGGCACTGGAGAGGCGTGACAGTATTTGTTTGACAGAGAGAGGGCCAGGGAGGTATATGAGGGTATGTCTACACTACCCTCCTAGTTCGAACTAGGAGGGTAGTGTAGACATACCCTAAGGAACTTGAGTGCGGGGATTTGGGATGTGGCTTAGGACATAAGGGGATTGTGATATGGGCCAGGAGATTAGGATGCCAGATCTGGGAGGGCATATGGGTGCAAGAGGGAGACACAGGGTTTGGGTATGTTGAGGGCGGGGCGGGGGGGCAGAGGGTTGGGGCAGAGAGGGGTTGAGGTGTAGTCAGCACACAAACCAGCCTGCCTACTTGCAGAGCTTAAAATGTTTCCCAGCCAGCCTGCCCGCTTGCCTGGCTATGTCAATTGCGTAGCTTATTTCAAAATTGGGAGCGTCTACACAGCACTTATTTTGAAATAGAGCACTCTTCCTCCAACTTCGCTTACTGATCACACAATGAGGGTTACAGGAGTCTAAGAAAGAAATCCTCCAGCTTGACAGCATTTCAACATTATTTCACTATATCTGCCTGCTGTGTAGACATGGACTAAGTTATTTTGAAATAAGACTAGTAATTTTGAAATAATGTTGCTATATAGACATACTCTCAGTCATTATCTAAATCATTGATGAAGATACCTACAGAATCGGTCCCAGAACTGATCCCTGCAGAATCCCGCTCATTGTGCCCTTCTGGCATGAATGTGAACCTTTGATAACTACTCTGGGAATGGTTATCAAACCATTTATGTACCCACCTTATGGTAGCTCCATCTAGGTTGTGTTTTCTTACTTGGTTTAACACCGCTAACTGCTAAGATGACCCCAAATACAACATTTGGGGTTTTTTTAAGCTACCTGCTGCACTAAATCTCTTCAGGATATATCTCTCCCTTGTCTAGATTGGACAACAGTGAAAAGTAAGAAGGACAAACATTTTAACGAGAGTCCAGATTCCTATTATAACTGTGAGAGAAACAAGACAAGAAAGTACACAGAAAGCATTACTTAGAAGGGCGTCAAACTTAACACTTCTTGGCCACCTACTTCTGGAGAAATTTTAAAAAATTGTCCTACTTTAGAGTACAGGCAGTCCCTGAGTTA